TAGATATATCGCTGGCATTGTATGGTCTATTTGTTCTGTTCAGATAGTCGAGGATGGCCTTCTCTATAGTATTAAGAAGCGATTAAGTTCGATGTTAGTCGCCATGCTGTTGTTTTCAATGTCTACCTCGCCTCTCGAAATTGTTAAATAAATGCGCCCTGCACCAAAATAACACCCGAGTCGTGTTGTTTCGTTACCTTCGTCGCTGGAGCCCTTTGCTTTCTTTGGAGGCATTCTGTTGGCTGTCTAAATTTGAATTGAAGTGAACTGCTGCCAATGTGTGAGGTGGAAATGAAACAAGCAAAATATGGCAAACAAATTAGTGCAATTCGAAAGGAGGGCAACTGAAAAAGAATACGCGTTTGACAAACCGACAGGCTCAGACTGGAGGCAAAAATGAATCAAAGTCTGTGCGCAGCCATACAAACCATCAGCGAATCAGCATAACACGAAGAGAAAAAAGAATATGCAAAACATAATACACGTGAGATTAATCTGCACTTGATCACGTTAATCCGTGATCGTTGCAATTGAAACACTGAGAAAAATTTTAAACATGGCTTAAGTGGCCAAATGACATGCGTGCTTTGCACGAAGGCAGATGCAAGCAAACAAACCAAAGATATTTGGAATATGGAGGACAACTTTAATGTCATCTTTTTCATAGTTTGTGCAGTGTCCAGGTGATTAGGTTTATATTCAACGTTCCTTAAAGTCAGGCAAAAAACAGAGGCACAAAGCAAAATACAAGTAAGCACTCCTTTTTGGATGCAGTGCATATTGAGGATTAACCATACGAGAAAAACTAATAGTGCATGGTCATGCTGCAATTTGAACGCACACGATACATTTCTATTCCTTTTTTGTACACCATTACATTCTTCTTGGCCAAAACACGGAGTGTTGTGGATGTTGTGAAGGCTAGCTTGTCGCTAACTCTGTCACTATAATGAATACACTGCTCCCATTAACTTGACAATCGCCTGTTCAAAATACTGTGCTGCCAAGATAAGCCTCCCCCTGATTGTCTCGTATGTGATTTTGACCAGCATATCAAACGGAGTTACAAAAAAGGCCAAATGAATCGGACCAAATAAAATACATAATCGTGATGTAATAGAGATAAATCGTGTTTGCGTAACGGGAAGCGACACGTTCGCTCGGAAGTTTAAAAAGGTTATTCGCCGAATATTTGTCACAAAATGTGGGAAATCGATGGATAGTAGCGACAATATCAATTTAATAACACTGACATTGTGCGTATTTATGTTCCCTGACACTATTTGTCAAATATATAAAAGGATGAGCAGCAATATAAAAAACACTATTTTCCTTGTTACTTCCTGAAAACCGCCAGAAATGAAGTCTGGATGGACGTCCCACCGGCCGAAAAGGAACAATAAACAATAAAACAGTAGAATCAACTTTTATTCTCGCAAATAAAAAATACAGCTGACTCAAGCACCAGCCTGTGAGATGCTCATAAGTTTGGGTGACATTGCAACTTACAAAGCATTTCATTTTTTCTTTGCTTTTCTCGTTACACTCGGCTCAAACACCATCGAAAAATAAATATAAAAAACATCCATGTCAGCTTTTTTATGTAGTCGACGCCGCTGCTACAATAGGAATCGGAATTTGAAAATAAGAGCCGAAAATTTAAATGAACAAATAGAAAAAGAAAAAGTGGCGCGCAATATTTTTTATTTTTCCTTCTCATTTATTCATACTCGCCTTTGCAGTACTGTGAAATACTTTCCAAATGAGGGGGGTTGAGCTTAAAATAAATATGTACAAGAAAAATCAGGGCTGAAGTTTCAAAATAAAATACAAATAAATGTCAATAACAAATCTCGTCTTTCTTGCGCGAACGAGATGAGGCCAGCGGACCCAAGTCACATCATTACTCTTTTGCGCACACCTCTTTCTCTGGCGACAAAAGGGTACAAAAAAGCTGGTTTTTTGGTGTCAGTACCGTTTTTGCACAAACTATTCAAAGAACAAAAGAAAAGTAACAGCACAAGGCCGTTAGCATTAGAATTAGCATGACAGCAACTTCTCGGAACACTGCACGACTCGGAAAACACCATTTTGTATTGTCATACGCAAGCCATCTTTGTGACATGTTCTTTCCGCTTTCCACTGTTTGCCGCTGATGCTTCCTGAATACAAATAAAAAACAATGCATATCTTGCCCCCCTTGCCCTTTGCCCTTTTCTCACATTTTTCTTTTGTGATTTTTCTATTGGACATTGCATGACATAGGCCTTTGTTATATTTTTTTGTTCAATATCCTGGTTCTTAATTTTTCTATATGCCGTGCATTCACAATCTACTTGGTATCGCACACATTCCAAGACGCATGCGCTTCCCCACTGCCGAAAATGAATTAAAGGCGGATGGCACAAGAAAAGTTTTTTTCCCCATTGGACCACAAAGCTAAGTTGCCTTGGCGGATGATACGGGAACATATATAACAGCACCACATCGCGCCCTATCTCGCAGACAGCCTCTTTCTATTATATTTTTATTCCTATTTTTCCTCATTCTCAAAACATTAAATCAATTCAGCAACACGCCCGCATATTTACGCGCTCAGTTGCCATTACCGAAAGATCGTACTGCCAATCCATTCGACAAAATCCTCATTCATATTATTATTTTACCAATCCGCTGTAATTATTCTTTATCCGGCCGAGATGGATATCCACAAGCTTATCACCGTCGACCAGCCACACAACACGTTTCCGCAGGCGCTGTACAAGATCCTCAACGCGGGCCACACGTGGATTGAGTGGAACACGGACGGCAGTAAGATCCGCTACAACGATCCCGGCCGGCTCATCCGCGAGCTGCAGACCCTGGGATTCAAGGCACAAGACTCGGCATCGCTGAGCAAGAACTTTAACGACTACAGCTTTAATCGCCTGAGCGATGCTCGCAAGTCTCGTTATGACCCTTATAAGAGCACATGGACTGTATTCTGCCACGCGGACTTCCTGCGCCACAGCCCCGACAGGGCCAATGCAATCCAGCGTCGCCGCGCTCGCCGCACTCGCCCGTACTCAAAGAAGTCGTCACCTTGCTCTGATGACAGCATCTGGGACTAACAAAAATGATGCATGGATACTGTCATCCCTTTGAAAAAGCAAATGCAGAAACGTGTAAATTAAAACGTGTTCAATGAATACCCTAACGACCTTTTAATGATAATAAAAATATATTTAAGCTAAATAAACAGAAATGCAAAAATAGCGAAGCTTTTATAAAAAAATTGATCTACTGAGCAAAATATAAAAACAAGTAAAAGGGAAAAACCAAAGATAATAAACTTGGTATTGTTGAATTATACTTTGGTATGTATCCCCCATACTACCATGCATACCAATGCCCCCTTAAGTTGTATTTGTTTTGAATCACTGTAAGCATCAACATGTATATTGCATGCATTGTATTCTCACTTTTATATTTCAGGTTCACATGCTTTTTTTCGACCATGACCAAATTATCATCTATTTTTCAAACACTTCCAGACTTGGTCATCGAGACGATAATCCATTTTTTTCTGAACGGCATCAATATCCATGAAACGTATCCGCATATAAACGCCAACTCGCTCATTCACTTAAGGCTGGAGGTTATGCCGCTTTGCCGCAAATGGTACTCGGTTGCCGCAAAGACGGTATTTTCCCACCAGCTGATGAGCGTCTACAAAAGCGGATCGGCGATAAAAGTTAGCATGCCGTCTACGCACATACAAGGCAACCGCCTGCATCCGTATTACAACCAGTATGCCAAGACCATCTCGATGACCATTAACTACAACTGCGTAAACGACATATCGCTAGAGATACTAGAACGTATTTCTGGTTCTAGTTTGGTTTTTCCCAACGTCAACAGGATCACAACTATGTTCTGGGATGTTGATCTCAGCCTGACAGCCAAAGATCTGAACAAGCAGTTCCATTTCAGCAAAACGGTCGAGTGCATAAGGCAGATGGTGCCGTCGGCCACGGATGTGAAGCTATCCATATTTAACCCCAGGCTGAACGCCCCTCAAAATATGCAGGCCCTGGTCAGTGGGCTTGCTAGCGGGCTATCCAAGGGCGCCAAGAAGCTACACGTTGACTGGCATGGAATCAGTAACCCCACATCGTTGGACCTGCACTGTTTCGTTGATTTGAAGTACATTCAGTACAACTCGACCTTTCACCACAAGCAATTTGTACAGATTATCCGCCAAAACGCACTAACGCTAGGGGAGCTGATCATTGACTTGGGCGCACACTTTGACGTGGGCCAGCTGGCTGTGGACGATTATGGTCACCACGTTGTGTACCTAAATTTGCACAGGCTCGAGATACACATTAAAGAGAATCCGGCGTTCGACGCGCACTCCACTCCCATAGACGCCATTCCTTTCCCGAGCCTGCGACTGCTGAAAACATCCACCGAGTCTTTGCTCGGCAGCGACTTTTTATTTCGCGGAAACAGCAAAAGCCTCGAGCACATAGACATACCGCTCGATAAAAGTATTACATCTACAATAGTCAATAGCGGTTTGTTTGGAAATGACAAGGCATCTCGTCTTTCTCACCTTACGTTTGAAGAAAGCCCAAAATCCATCCGCGAAGGACACCCGTTGGGAATGGCTCTGATTCCATTTATTGTTTATATGGCCCCAGAGGTGCGAGTGCTGCACTTGGGCCGGATAATCGGCTCTGGCGAGCTGATAACGTCGATATCTCTTGCCTCGTGCTTCGGCAGCCTTCAGATTCTGAAGCTCAGCGCAGTGTTGCTGGAACTTTGCGATTTAATTAAGCTCATTCGGTTGTTGCCCCGACTCTCCGACTTGACAACCAACGCGCCTTGGAGCACGGCTGTGAGCCAGTACGGTGGATTTACGGGCTATCTTGACTACATTCATTGCTTCACTACCCGCTAAGCAATAACTTCTTATGCTGGCACTACCAGGATGACGAGGCGCAAGCGTCTGGCATTGAGATTGCCAGATGTGCAGTCACACTTGCTGTGGCTTGTCCAAACTTTAACTATGCGGATGTTAGATATGGCAGCAGTGAATCATACAAAGCACAGCTGGAAGGCTTTTTGGGTAGGGATGAGTTTGGCTCCTATACCACCAGATCAAACGACTTCTTTCCAAATTATGACTATACATACAAAATGTTAATGCAACTTGTTTAATCGTGTTTTAAAATATATTCTGCAATTTTATATGAGAAAGAGCAACCAAACTAGAACATTATTTCTGCTGCAATTGCCCGGATTCTATGCACGCCCTGCTCATGTTCATCGCTCTCATTCATCTTTCCTCACCTTATACCTGCTCTGTCAAAATCTCGTCGACAATGCCAACCTCTTTGGGCGTCTTTGTAACCAGCGACAGTGCATGGATGCCGCCCTCTCGCTGCATCTCATCCTTCAGCAGCTCGTATATTCCGCGCTGCCGCTTCAACAGCGTGAGGCCGGCAAACTTGTCCGAAACAACTCTGACGTGGAAGTGCGTTTCCGTGCTGCTGACCCCTCCATGGGTGCGTGGTGACGGTGCTTGTGAGACTCGTTTTTGATCTCCAGCTGCACGGGCGCGTACTGCTCCTGGATGCGCTGGCGGATCAGCTTTTCAAGTGGGCCGGCGCTCTGGGTCGGCGAGGTTGACATTGTGCGAGCTATCCCGAGTATCGTGGCGGCGGTCTTGGTGCTTGCAACGAAAAGCACCATAAGCAATAATATAAAATTAGAAATGAAAAAGCAATAGAGAAGAGAAGAGAATGAGTGGTATGGTATTCTTGTCATTAAACACATTGGTATTGGTGCACTGCGGTGGCGACTATTGGTCGTTGTGTGACTGCAAAAAACTGCAATTTGAACAAGCTATGGGCAGCACAAAATAATTAAAATAACTAATAATTAAAAGATGTATCAGTCTGCAGCATACACCGGCGGGCTGGCCAGCAGCGCAGACACAGGACCGGCATAATGAGCAGTGGCAGTTTGCAAGACACAGGGTGGCTACCAGGCTTTGCACCTATGCTTTCAGCATGCCTCGCGCGAGAAGCCCTCTGACTCGTGCCGCAGCGGGAAAAAGTCAACATACACATCGTACTGCACCTGGATTTCCTTGGACTGCAGGCTGCCCTGGGCATCGTGGGGCACTGCCAGCGTCCACTGCACGTGTGTCGTCTGCAGCTCGTCGATGGTTGCTGCTAAATCGAGAATATCAGCCACTTTTTCCTCGGCCACTACACGCTTGGTCCAGAACATGTACACGTCGTCGTTTGCATCGGCGACCAGATCGTGATTCGTCAGGTACCGGACCTTCTGCACCAGCTGGGCGCGCACCTTGTAGCAGCGCGACCCGATAGTGTGGTGAGAGTGGCTGGGCTCAATCGGCTTGTTGCC